CTGGCATCTGGGCAATAATGGGCAATCTCCTGCACGTACCATCCGTATATGGGAACAACAAAGTCACGGCAGTTGGGATGGGGCGGATTGTCCCTTAGATATAGGTGGGCGGGCCGACAGGAGACCTGGCCCTGAGTGTTGCCACTTGTCACATATGTATTTAAATATTTCAAGACATTGTAAGAAGTTTTGATCTTAACATACAGAATCATAGAAAGTTAAGGTGGGAAGGGACCTCAGGAGGTCATCTAGTTCAACCACCTGCTCAGAGCAGGATCATACCCAACTAGTTCATCTCAGTCAAAGCTTTGTCTATCTGGGGTTTGAAAAACTTCCAAGGATGGAGCTTCCACAACGTGTCTGGGTAACCTGTTCCAGTGTTTTACTACCCTCCTAGTGAGAAAATTCTTCCTAATATATAACCTAAACTTCCCTTGCTGCAATTTGAAACTGTTGCACCTTGTTCTGTCATCTGCCACTACTGAAAACAGCTACATCCTCTTCCAAACCTCCCTTGAGGTAGTTGAAGACTACTAAGTCTCCTCTCAGTCTCCTCTTCTGTAGTCTAAATGAGCCCAGATCCCCCAGTCTATCCTCATAAGTCACATCCCCCAACCCCCTCACCATTTTTGTCACACTCTGCTGCACTCTCTCCAATTTGTCTACTTTTTTTCTGTAGTGGGCATGCGGGGGAGGAACAAAACTGAACACAGTACTCCAAATATGGCTTCATCAGTGCTGAGTAGAGGGGAAGAATCACTTCCCTTGACCTACTGGCAACACTCCTACTAATGCTGGGTTGTATGCTCTTAGCCTTTTTGGCAACAGGGGCATACTGATGGTTCATAGTCAACTTATTGTCCATGGTAACCTCCACATCCTTTTCTGCAGAGCTGCTGCTGCTGTACAGTCACTCCCCAGCCTATACTGGTGCATGGGATTGTTTCATCCTAAGTGCCTGGTGGTGGTACCATCTTAAGTGCCTGGGGCTGGTCAAATTTGTGGGGTTTTGGCTCGATCACCCACCCAGAAACCTGGGAAAATCAGCCTTTAGTTTTGATTGACAACTTCCCCACCTACAAGCAATTTTATAATAAACAGAACATCGACGTTTATTAAATAGAAATGAAAATAACTAAACCTTATCAGGCACCCCAGTTATTAAGCCACCCTAAACGTCAATTACTTTATATGTTAACCACTTTAAAATATTAAATACCATAAATATCAATCAAATGTGAAACACTTAAAAAAATTAAATATCATAAACATTAATCAACTAAACAATAATCAGCAAAATGATCAAACACTGTTTCCACAGGCAGCAAAGATATACTTCAGTGACATGACAGTTTTGATTTCTGTATCCCTCACCTTCTATCCCAGTGATTCTCAACCAAGGTGTCTGGAGAACCTTTCAAAGGTGCAGCAGGGTGTCACACGCTGCCAGTACTGTTAGGGGTGCAAACTTGATTCACAAGACAAAACCAGAGATTTCAAATAGGAATCTATAGTGCCAAAACCATTCTGACCTTTGTGGTTATTCTGAGTTTTAGAGCAATAGAAGAATTGCTCTATTTTTTCTCTAGTCAAAAATCAAGTGAAAATTTAAGAGCTGGCATTTTCTGAAAGGTGCCTCAAGTCTAAAAGGTTGATAATCATTGTTCCATCCATCAGTAGAGACCATTTGTTAGCTGTGTTTAGTTTGAAGTTGGGCAAAAGGCAGGGCACCTTAGGCCGAATCTAGACAAGCATGGCTGTGTGGTATGTGGTGCTGAAGACATGTCTGCAGAGCCACATACTGCACATTCAGCTGTTCTCTGTGCTGCAAGGTAGCAGTGTGGGAGGAGGGGGAAGTGGGGGTTGACCCTGGGAGATCCTGGGGTCAAAAAAACTCAGGGGGGGAAAAAAAAGGGGCAGCATACACAGGACCAGCGCGTGTCACCCAAAACCAGAGCCTGGCCGGCTAGAGCCACACTCCGGTTGCTGGCCCAGCTCCAAGCGGCAGGATCACCGCTGCTGCAGTCCCAGAAGGTGCCCAGGACCAAGGTAAGGCTGCTGAGGCCAGCCTAGTGCTGGCTCTAGCCTCCCCTATTCCACCTGGGGTAACTTGCCACATGCCAGAGAGCATGTGGCACAGGCGTTCCCCAGGGACAAGTAGGAGGGGCAAAAGGTGTACTGCTGCTTCTTTTCCCTGAGGGAACAAAAGTCCTTGCTCATATGGACATGGCCTTAGAGACTAACTTATTCAGAGAGGCATAAGCTTTCTTAAGTGACAGGCTTAGTTCGTCAGGTGTTATGAATGGAAGTTCATTCAGCCCATTCATGCTGACAAAGTAAACTGCTGCCTATGAAAGCTTATGCCTTTTTGAACCAGTTAGTCTCAGAGGTGCCATGCTGCTCTGCCTTCTATCCAGAGTGTACCATGTTTTTTGCCAGCAAAATTTCTAGCAGTACCAGATGTAAGCACCCCGGTACCATACATCAGCAGTTGCAAGCTGACAAACATTCTGGTGGTTTAACTTTGTATTGCAGGTGTGGATGATAGTCTATATAGAGACTAGGTCTTGAAAGCTATTAATGTAAATAACCATACAGTTTTCTATATGAAATATGCTTGCGAATTTTGAACTTTTGTTTTGCGTATTTTAAAGAGCTGGTAAATTCCTGGTAAATTCTAATCTAGCCTTACAAGAACTTTGAAGACTTACGCTTTCAATTGTTTCTAAGTATGAAGTGCTGTCTATTTTTATTACTACGCATTCCTCTTGTTGGGGGACAAATAAATGATGTGGCAGCTCCTGCCAAGGGAAGAACTCATTTCACTGAACTCACTAGCTGAAAAACATCAAGTTTTATTTCTAACCATGTTTTACCGCTTTTTATTTATATGTGCATGGTTTGCAACACAAGCTGCTGTTATCTATTTATAGCCATTAGTTAACAACTCAAGGGTGTTTTCATTTAACAACTGTCTTGACTGTAACGCTAGAAGTCTTTATCAAAACAAAGAAGAAGTATACAGTAGGTAAGTTAACTACTTTCTGTTAACTGAGGCAAAGCAGGATTTTTTTTGTAGTTTATATATGTAGTAAGGAGATGAAGAAAAATGTATCTGGGATCCCCTTCCTTAGAAATTTTGTTGAGACTGATCATTTAAAAAAATTGAGTGGTCAAATTAGATATGGTGTACTTTATCTTGTGAGAAATATTTTCCTTTATCTCTGTTTTTCTTTCTTTATAATGTACCTTTGAGAATTCTGCCACTTGGCAAAAAAAAAAATTAAATACACCTGAGATTCCTTGTGTGTGTGTGTACACACACATCTATTGCCTTGTTTGTGACTTGAATGAAATAATTCTGATGCAGATTCTATTTCTTATATTTCATATTTATATCCGATCAGATCCTGTTTGTAGGACTGTTGAAATGTTAAGTGACATGGTGTTTTGATTTAACTTCATGTAGTACGGAGCTGGCCAGTGACAAATCAAAGTCTTATTTTAATATTCACAAGGGCCACATTTAAGGAAAGGGAGGAAATTGTCGCAGCTGGTTTTTGGCAGCTGGGAAAAAGTCAGATTGAAGATGATAGACTTTGGAGAAAGGAATATGGGGGAAAATAGCAGCTTGGAATGGTTTGCGTGATTGTTCTTGGAAGGTTTGGAACAGCTGGGAAAAATGGGTTGGGCTACCCATGCTATCCCCCCTGCCCGCCTCGTATGTCTATTGCCTTCTATTGCCTCTGGACTTGCATTCTATTTTTGTGTGATATGCATCAGTTAAGTAATGAGATGCTTGAATTAAGTCACTGAAAACAACTTTTCAGACTCTTTCTGAGGTCATAGAGTAGAGATAATGGAAGTGTTGATTTAAGACTTAAGACTTGAATTCAGGAGATAGTCAAAGAGGAGCTTTGTAGTATTATGCAAAAAGAAGTCAGACACAAGTGTTGATTGATCTAATAGCTCTGTCTGGTTTGCAAGGATAAAAGGCAATAACCGATCTAAATAAAAATAGAATGGTAAGTACTGTATATATTACAATGAATAATAAGCTAGTTATGCAAGTAGACTATTCCATAAATTACTTAAATTATCAGAATAGTGCCTCCATTAACACGGTCTTGTATGGAAAAATGTAGGTAATTTGAAATAGAATTGGGTGTTGCTTTGGGGTCTTTAATCTGCCTTTTCAAATAAAAATAGTCGCATCAATACTGTTTAAGAAATGATTTCCGCACTAAGCGCATTACTTAGCTTCTACTATCCTAATAATAAACAATCAACTACAGACATCCATATATCATCCAATCAGAATGGTCTCTCTCTGGATCTACAGATTTTGCTTGCACCTTGGTCATATTTTATTCATATAAATTTATTTATAAAACTGTTCCTCCAAAACTGAGTGCATATCCATGCGCACACACATGTGCACATACATACCTCTATACACATGCATGCACACGTATATAGATGTAGACATACTTCTGTGCACATGCGTGTGCACACATATCGATGTATACATACCTCTATATACACGTGCACACGTATATCAATGTATATGTACCTCTATGTGCGTGCGCACGCATATCAATGTATATATGTATGTATGTATATAGGTGTATTTATATGCGTGTGTATGTATGTATATATGCGCACACACATGCACTTTTGGAGGAACACCATTTTTGTATATATATGAACAAAATTAAGACTAAAATCCAAAAATTCCCTGAACTTTTGCTAACACTCCTGCTCAGCTGTTAATTTTTCCTCAAAAAAAATTGCCTATTTTTTGGTTTAGTAAAACATATCCTTGGATTTGGGGATTTTTGTATTTCTAAAATGTTAGAGACAAGCGGCTTCTACAGTTGGTTATTTTCCTCATTTTGAAAATTGTTTGATTCTGAGTAATTACTTGCTTCTTCGTTTGAAATATGTAAATATTTTATATTAAAGCTAACCTGTAACTTTGCTGTTGTATAGGCCCTGGAAAAAAGTAGCAGGCTATCAGAAAAGGAACTTGCTGAGGCTGCAAGCAAGTGGGCAGCTGAAAAAGCAGAGAATGCTGATGAAAGCAATTTACCTGAAATTACTGAATATGATGTAAGTCTGATATGTTTGTATATTTATTTTAAAATATTACAACATTTAGACTCCCTTGTTTTTCTGAACTTTTCTAGATTTCTCATTTTATAATTCATAGAAAGGCCGATCATTTTTATATATTGTTTATACTTTTTGGCAAACGAATAATAGTTGAGGCACACTCAGTGTTGGGAGTCTGAGCCTTGTGTTTTGAGCTTATGTTTTCTAAAAAAAAAATTTCCCTGTAAATGTTGTTGTTACAGTATGAGTTAGTACCAATCGACACCTGACAGATAAAGGCCTTTGCCTTGCAAGAATGCCTGTGTTGGCCAGACCCTCCTTGGATTCTCATTTTGCTTCTTGCAGAACTGGGTCTTAAGAGAGCAAGGGAATTTTGAGGCAAGTTGTTAGTTAGTTGTCCGGGTGTTCTGATTTTTAAAATAGACAAATGAGGTTCTGTTGGTTTAAAAAAATGCAAAAGGACCTTCTGGGTCATCAGGTCTAGTTCTGCACAGTTATAGGTAATACAGTGTTTTTCATTAACATAAGTGTGCTCCATTTTAAAAGGAGTTAGGTTTTCTGCCTCTATTACTACAATTGAAAGGCTATTCCCAAGCCTCTCTGCTCTGATGTTTAGAACCAGCATAATTTCCAGCCTAAACTTGGTCATGGCCAGTATTTTAATTCATGGTGTTTACTTTGTATCAGTATTTAAAGACAACGGTTTTATCTCCTCTCAGACTTCATTTTGTTAGACTCATCTCCATTCCTTTGATTATGCTAGTGGCTGTTCTCTGCACCTGTCTCAGTTTGATTTAATCTTTCTTGAACATGGTGATTTAGCTGAGATCTTACCAAGGTCCCGTCTGATGATGTTAATACTTCCCTGTCTCTGCTGGCTATACCTCAATTTCAGCTGCATTTAGTCTCTCTGCGTTACAGGGACTGATGACATTTTAGCTGCATTAACAGCAGTGATGAAGTGGTTGGGTCCCCTATACAGACCTAGCGTTGCTGCTAAAACAATACCTGCAGCACTGAACAGCAGGCACTGCAGAAGCAGACTTTTTCCACCCCTAATTGCCAGCAGAACTTTGTAATATAGTCTAGAGCAGGAGTTCCCAAACTGTGGTATACATACCCTTGGGAGCACACAGGAGAAATTTTGTCATGGCAGCTTTAATTTTCATTATAATAATAATTGGCATTTAAGGGTTTAAAATATAAAACATGCTGGTAGGGATATGTGGGCAGCTGGCAAATATGTAAGGGGATATGCAATTAGAAAAAGTTTGGGAACCTCTGGTCTAGGTCTTATCTGAGGATCACATTTCCTTTTTCATGGCTGTACCATATTGACTGCCAGTCATTTTGTGGTGAACATTGGTCCTTCTCCTCAAATGGTCCTTGCCATTTTCAGTGGGCAATCCTCCAGATTATAACACATGATCTTGCCATTGATCCTTAAGTGCATGAACATTAACTTTGTACTATTGAATCTCTTCCCATCTCAGTTGCGCAGTTCTCAAAATTGTCTGGTTAAGCTTGTAGTACATCACAATCCTTCTTTGTTATTGACGATGCCTCCTAACTTTGTGTCATCAGCAAATTTTATCAGCACGCTTCTTTTTGTGTCAAGGTTTTTAATGAACGTATTAAACAAAATCAATCCCAAGACCTCCTTAGGTTCTGTGCCTGCTACCTCCCTCCAACCTGATACTTCCCTTTTCAGCATTACTGGTTGATTTAATCTTTATTCAAGAAAAACAAAGTAACACTTATAATGTACACAAAGTCCTTTAAATATTTTGATTTTCTTCTGTGCTGGAAATATCTGCTTAAACTGTTGAATTCAGATAATTTTGTGTAAATATATAGTGTAAATATTTGTTTAAATATATAATTAGTGTATGTTTGCATTACATTTGTTTGCCAGTAATCGAGGAACAAACAGGCAATCTGTATTTTGAAGTTATACTTCTGGCATTTAAAATAATATGGTTATAGGTATAAATATTTTTCTCTCATAGATATTAAAATTATTAGGAAGCATAAAATTCTTCTTACATGAATGTAATATTATGACAAGTGTGTGCATATTTTAAGTCTCCTACATGTGTAAGAGATGACACAATTTTGCAAACAACTTTGTAAGCAAGTTAAATACATCTTGCTTAGTATGTTATTGTAAAAATGTACCATACCGTACCATCCCATCCTGTAACACCATTTTCTAATTTAGATATTTTGATTGGGTACTTAATGTTTGACTTTCTTTGATTGGGATTAAATATTTTAACATGCTTAATTTTCTTTAAAATGACAGCATGACTCGATTAGAGACAGCATTTTGAGATTGAATATAGTAACAGGACTTGCAGAGCTATTTTAATTATTTATATGGCCTCAGAGCTTTATGCAGGCCCTCAGGGAACTCTACTAATTCATTCTTTTTAACCTTTTCTGGCAGTTTAATGTTCTGCAACCTTCTTTTACTACTTACAAATCTTACCAGAGTTTTTCCTCCATTTTGCTTTTGTACAAGTTACTACCTTTAACAGCTGTGTTTTCTGACCCCATTCATTATGGAATGTTCCACTGTATAGTAGTTTGTCATCCTTTTTCTTTGCTTTTCTATTAACCTTGCATTCTGAATCATTTTTCCATATCAGTACAATAAGTAAATTTAGGTGACTGGGTGTGGACAGACATAATACTTAGATTGGTTTAAATGAGGTTTAAGGTACAGGCATCCAGATGCCAGCTTAGAATGGTTTAAGCCTCCTGAACTAGTTCAAAAGTATTCCTGGATTATCAAGTATTATTTTGAACCAGGTCTCCATGAACCAGATCTCTGTTATCTGCAGACAGTAAGCTTTCCAGGCATCCTATACTGGACCACTCTTCCCCCACACAGTAACTAGCTGTTCTGGGATGCAACCAGAACTCTAATGTCACAAACTCTGTTGCCTGCACTTGACTGCAGTGTCCTTGGCTAGGGGCTCAGGGGGCAGCCCTCTCCTGCTTTTAAAGAGAGAGTCCTTTCATTGATAGCAACTTGTGGCGGGGCACCTTTGGTGCCTACTGCTTTAAGGGGCTTGAGCAGCCTGCAGGTGAGAGCAGAGACTATCAGGTGGTCACATGGCAGTCAGGAGGCCGCATGATTGAAGGAGGGCTTGGCAGCCTAAGTATAAGACTGGGCCCAGGGAACATGGCCAGCAGTTGCAACTGAAAAGCTGATGGAGTAACATTGCCTGGCCAGAGGATTCTGCTCCTGGAACATCACGGAGGTCAGGGTAGGAACTATGGAGGAGGAGGAGGAGGTTCCTAGGGACCCAGGTGGGATCCAGAGCCCTGAGGAGGGAGCTGAAGGCCTTGGTCTGTGGAGAGGCCAACCTGTAGCAAGGGGCCGTGTACACAGAGGCCCAAGGGAGAGACCAGAAATGGCCTGTTGAGAGAGGCTGGGTATACAAGGGCCTAGAGAAGACAGGCCAGCATGAAAAGAAGGGGCTTAGAGTTCGTGGGCCTACAGAGGGATTAGGTAAACCCCAGAATAGAACTGCTGAGAGAATCGGTGACCGAGGAAAGGCCTGGGGAAACCTAGGGAGTGGGGCTGACCCTGGAGGGGTCTGTGGAGGGGCTCAGCAGAGCTTAGTGAAGTAAAGGGTTGCTTTGGACAAGATCTGTGGGGCTCAGGCAATCCTGGTTTGATTTATGGAAGGGCTCAGGCATGGACCCCTATCAAGTGAGGGAGTCAGCTGTTTGTAGATTGACCTAGGGCTCTCGACTGGCCCAAGCTGGAGCCAGGAGCTGAGTGGCTGAAGAGCAAGTATGCCCACCATGAGGGCTCCAGAACCAGAAGTCTGGGGTCCTGACTGGATGGAGAGTGGGGCCAGGCTCAAGCGAGTGAAGGTCTCGCCAAAGGGACACCACCGGCAACAGAGTAAGGGGATCAGTTGGCAAGCAGTCTGGAATGACGGAGGCTGAAGCTCAGCCATCTGATGGGAGGTATCCTGTAAGGGGCCTGAGAGAGAATTGGAGTCACTGATTGAGGGTCATGTTATAAGGTGGAGGCTGGGACAGAGTTCGCAGGAGTGAGCAACCCAGGAAAAACATTAAGAAGCCTAGAGAGGGAGGTGAAAGACTGGGGTAGGGAGGCCTGTAGTGGTCCTGGGTAAGATGGAAAACTGTATCCTCCTGGGGTTGGATGGTGTGGTAGGGCTTCCTGTGGTGGGGCGGTCTCCAGGAAATGCCACACCTGCACCTCTCCAGTGAAAGGTGAGGATGAGGCTCCATAAAGCCTCAGCCCCTGCTGCCTTGTGGCTACTCCATGGAGGGGAAAGGCTAAGGGGGCACACCCTGAAAGAAAAGCAATGGGTTTGGGTGACAGCACAGGGGCCAGGAGGGCCCAAGACCCAGCACCTGAGAGAGTGGGGTTATGGGCAAGACCAAGGGGATGAGAAGGGCCTGAGGCCCAAGGCCAGTGGGAGTTGGCCTGAATAAGAGTGAGGCCTAGGGAGAGGCTGAGGGGGAGGTCCAGGCACATCACAGGACACCTAGGGCCTGAGTAGGCTGTAGGCAGAGTTAGGGGTCCACGTACGTTGATAGATGCCTGAAGCCAGAGAGGGCCAGGGGCTGGAATCAGCCCAGTGCGTGAGGCAATAGGCCTGATGCTGCGTCAGAGTAGGGCCTGAATTGGGCGGCCTAAAGGTCTGCAAGGGTTCGGGACCAAGAGTGAGAGAGAGGAAACTTGAAGGGCTGTATGGAGTATAACCAAGGGGGCTGGAAGGGTCATACAGAGTAGGCCAGAGTGCGTGTGGGCCAGGGTGGGGTAAGAATGAGTGTGACCTAGGAAAAGAGGCAGCATGAGTGTGATCCAATTATGGGGGCATGCATAGGAGGACCCAACACAGGGACAGAGTCTGGCCCTGGAGAGGGCTAAGTGAGTGTCAGCTGTTTGGAGGCCATCTGTGAGGCATGGGACATGGTAAAGGGGAGGTCGGAGCTGTGTACTTTGCCATTGGCATCAGGGCTTAGAATGGGCAGCCTCCCACTTGCATCAAATTGTATGTAACAGCAAAGGTGTGGCAAGTGAGGGAAGACAGACTGCCTTAGACAGGTGGGTGGGCTGGTGTCAAGGTCAGCTAGGGACGGCCCCCGTCACACAACTCATCAGGGTTCTTCAACTCAGACTTACTTGAGGTGGGTGGTGGCCAGATGGTGTGTGTGGGGGGGGGGCGCTGCCTGGACTTCTGCTTCTATATGATTGAGGTCTGGGGGCTCTGGGGGGCTGCCCTAGGACTCCACTGCCACCAACGGAAGGAAGCTTACTAGATCTTTAACAAACCCTGAAAGCTGCCTCTGAAGCCCAAGCACACAGAAGAAGGGGTCCAGGCAGTCCACGTCACCTTCATCCCCCAAATCAGTCTGGGATGCATCAGACCCTGGTCAGGTTCCAGGAATTTAAAGTACATTGATGAGTGGCTTGGGGAAAGTTCTGCTTAAAATCTGCAAAAGCTCTGGCATTTCTTAGAGTACCCAGCTCCCCAAGAACCCAGAAGGTAAGGTCCAGGCATTCCCCAGCTCTACACATACACACTCCTAGGTATCCCCCCTAACCTTTTCCCTTTGTAGAACAATATTACATCTTTTTTGCCACACTTTCCTTTTTTCTTAACAGAAAATTCCAGGTTGGGGATACAGATACGGAGACGAGTATTAATATTTACATTTACATTTAATATTAACATTTACAATTACAGGTATGTGGAAAAAAATTGAAACGACTTACCCTAAGAGCTTACAGAATTAATAAGCATGATCAAACTACTGTTCTAAAAATATATATTCAGGTTAAGTTCCCACTCACGGTAGCATCACATAGATTCCAGTAAAGTGCAGGAATGTATCTTCGCTGAACTCAGTGAGAACGGGAACCAGAAAATTGTAATCAGGCTTGGTACTCAGTACCCATAGTGGCAGTTCAATGGCACTGCGATACTAGAAAGGTGACATGGAACCCTTAGCAGTGTATGATGCAGACACTTCTGACCCAGGACAACTGGGTATCGGCTCTCAGCCAGTGACATTCTTGGAATGGTTCAGCTGTTATGTCTGTCTGCACCTGTAGTAGGAATGTGTACTGATTGGGGCGGGCAAGGCAGTCTTTTTCTCTCCTGGAGAGCACCATGTCCATTGTTAATACTCTACTAAGGTTTCTTTGATTTAATTTGGGAATCAAATGCATGTTTGCTTTTCATTAACCAACAGATACCAGAGTAGTTAATCCTCTCTCAGTATATATCCTGTAAGTCTGAATGCTGCAGGAGTTCTTCCATGCATTTTTCAAACTTGTCAGTCCTGCCTAATGGCCTTGCAGCATCGTCATTGTCCTTTCTCATTTGTTTTGCATTGCTTTTATCCTTGCCCAAAAAATTTTGCCAGCCTCCCTGGTGTATTCTAGGTGCTGAGCTTTCTTAATATCCTCTCTCCAATTTCTTTCTCAGTGAAAAGTGAGGAAAAGTATTGTCTTAGGGATAATTGTCCAGTATGATCAAGGGACTGATTCACAAAGCATCTCTGAAGTTCACTAAAGGTGTTTATTTTCTATAAAATACTTTTTATTGATATGACCAACTTGTCAAACTATTTATAGTCAGACATCTATTTTATATAATTTATTTTTTTTAATGTCTTTCAGTAAAATTTCCTCATTGATAAAATTTCATCCTTTTACAAAATTGTATATATCTGAGTAATTGTATTAAATAGACATTTATTCAGCTTTAGAGCAAAAAATAAGTATTGATTATACATTATAAAGGCAGGGTCCTCAGCTCCATTATATGTTGAACAACCAGAGGAAACGGAGACAAATATAACAGATGCTACTGAGTTGTATGAAGACAACCAGCTTCTTGGCCGTTCAAAAGCGATTGCAACAAAAACCAAAGAGATTGAACAGGTGAGCCTTTTAGCTTTCTTTTTGGCAGTGATGTCATGCATGTATGATGGCTTTTTGAGCAATATAATTGGCATACTAGGATATAACTTTTCTCCTCTCACAGAACAATATTACATTTTTTGGCAACACATTTTTTCTAAACAGAAAATTCCAGGTTGGTGATACAGATGAGGAGACAAGTATTAATATTTACATTTAATATTAGTATTTATAGGTATGTGGAAAAAAATGAAAGACTTGCCCTAAGAGCCTACAAAACTAATAAGCATGATCAAGCTACTGTTCTAAAAATATAATCAGGTTAAGTGGCTGTATTCAGAGCATTATTTCATATTCAGACAGTATTATATACAGGGGATTAAAAGCTTATTACAGATTTAGTCAGTTTTTATATTAAAGCAAGCAGAATGTATTTTCATACTGAATTTAAACTGTTAATAGTTGTCTTAAAAAGATGAAAAAAATCTTACCTCTTGAGTAGCAATCTTCTAAAAATAAGCTTTGGTTGGCAGTATTTCGTATCTGAATAGGAGAGGAAAATGCCTACTAAGTCATTGTTAAATTAGTTTGGATTTATATTCTTTTCTGTTTCCCTTTTGAGTCCTTTATATTTAATTTCCAAAGAAATGTTTCTCTTATTACTAGCCCCTTCTCTTAGTATTGATAAGTGGTCTTTGAAGAGGTTTAATAGAAGTGTATCGTTCTATTAACCTATGACACTACTACATCACATTAAGGAAAAGTTGCGCCCAGCACACTAATTTTCATTTGTCTTGAAAGATTAAACCAAACACTATATTTCAACGTCTCTCAGAAACTGTTGTCAAGAAAACATTTCAAAAGCAACTTTCCTAGTTAAAATTTTTATTAAATTCTGATGGTTACTGATAGTAGTTTTGACTTTTTGGGTCTATTTTATACTGACTTTGCTTTAAAATGTTGGCAAAATATGAGGCTAAGATAGAAAGTTTATCATCAAAAAGATGAATTATCTGACAGCAGTAGCTTTGAGAAAACAGCCCTCTCTTTTGTCCTCAGTCCTTTGGAGTTTTATAGTAAGCCATTTTTCATCATCATTTTTAGTAGAGTTCATCTCTATATGCCCATTGTTTGCTTGTCTCCACTGGTATTGGTATCATTTGCATCTACAGCATTGGAAAATAGAGGACTGTCTTTCACTCACAGTCTTCTGTCATCTTCTACTTTGGTTTCTATGTTATGTTCTTTATTTCCTTCATCTTCAGACTTGGGTCAGAGGGAGTTAATGAATTTTCCTTCATTGATTGCTATAAGCGGGCGGAGTCATTGTGATGAACTCTACATACCTTGTCCCTGCATGACACAGAAACAAAGTAAAATTTTTCAGTGGGTGGAAGAATGGTAAGCTGCCTTCATGGCCACATGTTCACAAAAGAACTGGCAGGTGTTGGATATTTTCAGCTTTTGTGCGGTGTAACTGACCACCTTTTCTCTGAAAACCTCAAGTATCAATGTTTTCAGAGGTTGGAAAAATGAAAATAAAGTGTAAAAGGAAAAGTGGCTTCTCGGTTCACTCTCAGTCCAGGTAGGGAGGAAGCAAAACTGCCTATGTCTTATGACAAAGAATGGTGTTGACACCAAAGATTGTAGTTGTACTGAGGACTTCTTTACCCTGTTCTCCTCCCTACCTCCCCTTTATAAATCTTTGTTTGAAAGAAGCAATCTTGTGTGGATTGTGGGCAGTTGGAAAGAAGCTACCCTGTGTTCATTTTCTTGCATTTGGTTCTGTGTCTGAAAGAAGCTGTGGCATGCCTATTTTGCTTTCCTCTAGCTAAGACTGGAATGTACTTTCTTCTTTTGGGGATTTGACTTGGGAGGCTGAGAGCAAACCGTCAGGGGAGGCCAAAGGTCCCATTAGAGATTAAAATTATGTACAGAGTACCACACTCGATGCTCTACTACTACCCTTTCAAGAACAAGGAGCTCAGTCATGAAAAATATTATTTAATCAGTGTCCTTGATGAAAACTTCCCAGCTCTTTGCAAGGGAAATTAATTTTTAGGCCTTAATGTGCTTATCAGCTGTCAATGTTTACTGTAAATCACAATAAATTGCATGGTTGTGCTTAATTTCTTTTGGTTGCAGCAATCTATAAATATTTATATTTTAATTTAGGATATGATGATAGATTATAAATTCTTTGTGGACTGTCATTTGTTATATGTTTGTGCAGAGCCTAGGACAATGGGATGAGCTAAAGTTAATGTAAAATAATTAGTTCTCTGTTTACTTCCCTCTCCCCTCCCCTCAAACTAAAGACTATGGGACAGGTTCTCAGCTGTTTATTAGTTGTCATTGTTCCATTGAATTCATTGGTGCATTGACTGTTTATATCAGCTGTGGATCTTCCCCTAGCCCTTACAAATATGATTGTCAAGACTGAAACTTCAAGGCTTAAAAATAAACATTCTGTTCAGCAAGATCTAAAGTGGCAGGTGCAATATTACCCTCACTGTATTTGGATTAATGTAGTTTATGATCATAGATGTTAAGACCTGGAAGGGACCTCAAAAGATCATTCCTGCCCCCTGCTCTGGGCAGGAATACTACTGATATCAGAAGATCCTAGCAAGGTGTCTGTCCAGTCTCCTCTGGGGCAAGGGACAGACATTCAAAAAGTCTGAGCCAGAATTGATTCAATCTTTGCAGGTTAGTCTAAATCACTTTATAACTTTACAGACATCCCCTCTGGACTGAAAAAATGCCAGCACATGCCTGCAGTGGCTCAGGCTAGATGCCATGGGGTGCTAGAGCAGCCCTCCCTTACCTTCTAGAGGGCTGAGCTGAGGAGGGCATGGCCAGGCCCCAACAGGATGCTGTGCTTAGGGAGGGGTTCCCCCCCCCCTTGATAACAGAGCATTTATCAGCTCTGTTACCAGTGTTTAGCATCCCATCACAAAGCCTCACTCATTAGTTCAAGCTCTTCTTAAACATCTTTTTCCAGAAGGAAGGAATGCAGGGACATTACCAGCTGAGCTGTTGATTAGCTCCAAAAAGCCCTGAGCAGACACTGTCCTGTCTGCCTTACAGAGCACTAGCTAGCAGATCACATGCTGGCTATGGTCTATGCTGTGGGAGAGAGGAGAAAGGGATCTCTGCTTAAGCAGCAAGTGGTGAGCGGGGGGGTGGGAGGGAAGAGGAGGGCATGGGGAAGCCAGCACATGCTGCTGTGCCTGCAAGTCTCTGCCGGAGCTCCAGCCAGGGGGCAGAGGGGAGGAGCCAGCTTTGCTGTGGAGCAGAGAGCCCCGCCCAGCCCAGAGAGCATGCCGGGATGGGGGAATCTGATTTAACTTAAACCAGCAAGGGGTCTGGGACAGACATTGCGTAAACTGGTTTGACCCAAATCAATTAAGTCTGGTACTACATTCAACCAGGTTTATCTCAAACCGGTTTCAGTCATTTTCAAACTGATTTCTGTGCACTAAATGTCTGTTCTGTTAGAAGTTTAAACCAGCTTCTGATCACTTAAACCAATTTATGTGCAATGTCTAGCCTTCAAGATTTCCAATGTTGCACCACCACATTGGGAAGTCTATTCCAGATTCTGGTCACTTTTACCATAAAGAAGTTCTTCCTTACATCTAGCCTGAAACCATCCTCTAACAGTTTATGGCCACTGCCTCTTGTCTTCCCCTAGGGTGCCCTAGTAAATGGTTTTTCTCCCAGTTCCTGATATTCACGCCTTATGTACTTACAGACAGCCACCAAGTCCCCCCCTCAGTCTTCTCTTCCCCAGGCTGAACAGTCCCAGATCCCTTAGTCTTTCCTCATAAGGTTTGTCCTCCAGGCCCCCGTAATCATTCCTGTGGCCCTTCTCTGGACCCTTTCAATATTCTCCACATCTTTTTTCAAGTGTGGTACCCAGAACTGAACACAGTACTCCAGCTGGGGTCTCACCAATGTGAAGTAGAGAGGAAGTATTACTTCCTTAGCCCTGCTCGCAACGTATCAGCTAATGTATCCCAGTATGCTATTAGCTCTGTTGGCTACAGTGTTGTGCTGGTAGCTCATGTTCATCCTGTGATCAGCCATAATCCCAAGATCCCTTTCAGCCATCATGCTGGCTAGGACATCTCCTCCTAACCTAAATATTCATGTCTCTGGTTACTTCTCCCCAGATGAAGCATTCTGTATTCATCCTTATTGAGCATCACCCGGTTCCGCTCTGCCCACCTTTCCAGCTTGTCCAGGTCTGCTTAGATCCACATCCTATCCCCTAGCGTAAACGCTTTTCCCAATAACGTAGTATCATCAGCAGACTTGGCCAGCATGCTTTCCACATCCTCATCTAAATGATATGTAAAATAAATTATGCTCAGGACCTTATTTTGGAGTAGCCTGAGGAATAGCATTAAAATCATGATTGCAAGGGACCACAGTTTCTCTCATTTCATGTTTTAGATCTTAAGAGATGTTGACTTTCATAGAAAAAAATCTCACTTAGATACTTTTTGTATTTTACTAAAATATTGTTTTATGGGTAGGATATATTTCTAATCTAGAGAACAAAATCCTCATTGGTAGTTTTTATACATGATGCTGAGAAGTTTAGAACTAGTGTGGATTCATTCAGTTAAGTCTGAGTCATAAACAAGCATGTTGTGTTATAAAACTGTATGTCGTAAAATCACCTGAAGAGCACTTCAGCCATATTTCAGATAAGAGAGTTAAGAATGATTTACTTCCTGCTCCAAATGCTGCTTAATTCAAGAAATTAGATGATGTTTTAACATTTCATAGAATTATTTTTGTAGTTATTATGAGGTACTGCCGATACCGACATATCAAAATTTATATTTGCATACTTTTAAGCACTGTTTCATTTATCTCTGGACTCAGAGAGTTAAAAGTTTGAATTTACAACCTGACTAATTTGAATGTCTGCAAAAATTTTAAAGGCGAAATAAAAGGCCATGGAAACTAAATTGTCACTCTCTGATGAACTCTACATGTTAACAATT